TGTGTGAGCGTGGTCCTGCCCTGGTTGAGCCGACCCATTCGTGCTACAACTATAATGTAGATGTAGCGTGGCTCTACCATGTACAAATAGTTATTATAGAAGAAACAGTCCAAAAAGTTAAAGCCGAGTCACAAAATAAGAAGACAAACACAAATTCACAAAATTACGAACAATAAGCTCTCGAAACGGAAACAGAAACTTTTTTATTCAATATAGATTATGAATAATACTTATTGAAAGTCACTTTTTTCATTTACCAAAAATATCTCTGTCCTGGGAAGAACCAGCAAGAAACCCAACGGGACTAGTTTAAAAAAAAGAGCTTACTATCATGCGTGTTACGATTAACAACGCAAAACAAATTAGAAATAGCTTGGTAGCGATAACCCTTCCCATGGCTTACTATCATCCATAAATTCCTTAATATTAAAATAACCCTTTTTATACAAACTTAGTGTAATAAAGTTTTTGAAATATGTGTGCTTACGTCAAATTTTGTATATTTCCTGGCATTTTGTTATAAAAGCGTATACATCGCCTCAAAAATGAATTACTGATTCTGTGGAGTCGAGTAACTGGTATGGAAATGGCGGATATTGAAATTATGTAGTAGTTATTTTAGCACGACCTTGTATATGAGTTTTTTGCCTACAAAAATTTACTTTGACAAAGTGAAAAAAATAAACTTGTTTTATTCATGATTCATGTAATTTAAGGAATTTTGAAAATGAAAATTAAATTAAAGAAATAATAAATTTAAGAAATTAATTATTCGATTATTAGAATATTTTTACCGATTATTTAACTATTTTGCCGATTATTCGCATAACAATGAATTTTAATCATCCAAACACTACGGTAATATACATAGCGACATGTCATTGAAGCGACGTCAAGTAAAAAAAGTTAATACTGGTTATTTTTTAATATTTTGCTTTGTTTGAAAAATTCAAATTTAAATTAGTGCTAAAAAACTATACACGTTGTAATGAAATATAGATAACCTCATAATTCTTCAGATTTACGTAAAAGGTTATTTTAAATCGTGTGAGTACGCTTGTGCAAAGCTATTGCGGAATGATTAATGTGAAACGTCAAAAGGTATTTTTTAGATTTGGTCGACTATAATTAATTTATCATTTTTTACGATTGGGCGGCAAATTGAAAATTGTCTGTGTCACATCAGCATGAATTTAACGTGAGAAATTTTTCGTACAATGATTTTTATGACTTTCGATCTTATTTAAGTCAACAAGAAAGTTATGATAGACTTTGATTGGTCTTTCACGATGAATCCCCTTGTGACCTTGTGCCACTGTTTAAAACTGGTTTAAAGAGTTTTAACTGGTCGCACTAATCTCACCGATGATCTGCGTGAGGGACGGACTTCTATGGCGACGACTGAAGATAACATCAGTGTTGTGCGGCGTATGATAGAGACTGACAAAAGAGTGACTTATCATCAGATTCGGACAAGCTTAGGCATCGGTATGAGTCAATTGCACAAAATTCTTCATGAATATTTAGCGGTCAGGTAGCTTTGTGCCCGATGAATGCGACATAATTTCACAGAGACCCAAAAACTCCATCCTGTTGATTGGTGTCGTGAAACGGTTTAAAGATTTAACGGAGGTGACTCATATGCTGTGCTCGACATATCTACGAGTGACGAAAGCTGGATTTATTATTATGATCCTGAAACTAAGAGAGTCTGCTTTCTGGATGTTTTATTCGACAAGTTGCCAACTAAAGTTCAGAAAGACAGGTCATTACGCAACAATTGTTTTAGAGGATCAAAAAGATGGTACTGTAAAGTGGTACACTAAAAATTTGTTGCCATTTGTCTTGGAAAAAGTTTGGGAGAAATGACAGTAGGATCCTCCACCATGACAACGCCTCGTCGCACACCGCCAAGCAAACAATCGATTACTTGGCGACTTCAGACAAGGAATTACTGGGTCACCTGCCCAATAGCCCCGACCTCGCACCTTGCGAATTTTATTTATTTCCGAAAATAAAAGAAAAACTTCGAGGAATACGTTTTATGGTCGTCGAGGAAGCAGTTAACTTAGCAAATAAAACACATTAGTAATATGCACTTTATTAATTGTTCCAAATTTTAAAGTAAAGAGAAAAAATGTGTCAGGACGGTACTATGGGCCCCGTTCCAAGAAGTATGAGAATGCCTTCAATGGTATCCTTTGCCGTGGATCATATTATATTAGCTATATATTATAATATATAATCCGCTTCTTCGGTTTCGTAATCAGGTAAAGCATGTGTGATAGATCGTGGAAACTATGCCTAATATGAGGCAATCAATGTAGAGGTCTACATATGTTCAGTAGTCGACATTAAAATGCTGTAACGATTATCGGATAAAAGTAAGAAAGTTATATTTGCTGATCCAATACAAACATTGTGTTGAAAGCATCAAGCAAAGTATATATTTACATAATAATATAATGTTTCTTTCATATTGTCTCGCTTATAATTAAATCTTATGGTGCTCGAAAATACTTATAGAGCCATCTATATAAAATTATTGTAGTTAATTTATTATTACTGTAAAATAAAAATTATATGATATTTAGAAAAGAACGGGTAGGAATAATATAAAAAAGTACTCAAAATCGGGTAACGTAATTTTTCACTTTCACGACAATGTAAATTTTAAATGTTTTTGGAACTGCAAAAGGAAAGTATAACATGCCTCGTATGATACTCGCCGAAACCAAAGAAATAGTTAACATTTCTTTTAAAATTGATTTATCATATTGAGCCGTTGTAGCTCAGATGGTTAACGCCAATTGTAAATATAACAGAACGCGAGTGACCCGGGTTCAATCCCCGCTGGCACCAATAAAATTGTTAATTGCAATTTTAAGTGCTTATTTACCTCGTGCTCGGCGGTGAAGGAAAACATCGTGAGGAAACCTGCATGTCTGAGGAATAAGGAAAAAATATTTCGAAGACATGTGAAGTTCGCCAACACGCATTGGGGCAGCGCGGCGGACACTTCCTTGCCCTAAAACCCTCTCATAAATGAGGGGAGTTCTGTGCCTAGCAGTGGGACGTATATAGGCTGTAACTTTACTTTTTACTTCACTTATCATATTGCGGGTACTTGGAGGTTAAAAAAACATCATAAGCTTACCAATTTTTTTAAAATTTAATAAGTAATTTGCACAACACCATCTATCGATGACATTGATTAACCATTATACTTTTTTCACTACGATATTAGGGTTTATATATTTTTCAAAAATACTTATAACGTTGTTCTTTATTATTTTTATTTACTACGTTTAGATAAAATTATATCATCATAGAACACTATTCTAGATTATTTAATTACAAAAATGCCTTGATCACTCAACGCCATATATTGATATAATTCAGTACTTTATACATAATACGTAAACAAACAGACAGACAGACATTTCTAAAAATGATACAACTGTATTATATATTTTAATTACTTATTTTAGTCACTCTCTATCACTTTTGTTACAAAAATATCAAATTTACAGACATCTCATGTGTATCACTATTATTTCTAATTAAAAAAATATAAGGAGTTAACACTAATGATGACTGTTTTTTTTTTTAAATAACATTGAAAAAAACTTATAAACAAACAAAAGATACAGCCTATATACGTCCCACTGTTTGTCAAAGACCTCTCCTAATTTCTATAAGGGACACGCCGGTTTCATCACGATGTTTTCCCTAACCGTTGAGCACGCAGTAATTCAGCACATAAACCTTCAAATAACAATTTCATTGGCCAGTGCTGATTGAACTTGGTTCGCCCGTATTCTGTGATATTTAAAGCAAGCACCTTAACCTCTGAGCCACCACGGCTCTATAAAAGGTATAAATGTTTTATTAATTCATTACAGCGTACATTTTAATTTTAAAATAACCTACATGCGTATTTTCAGTAATGGATGGTGTACGAATGACTACGCGTCGCCATACTTTGACATTTTTGTAGAGAAGGGACACCATTCGTCGTGTACAAAAACGGAGTAATGTTGTTGCAGGATAACATTAGTTTGATTTGGGTTCGTCTAATATATCACGTTGACATGGATATGGGTGGCCCAATGTGTCATGGATATTGGTAAAAAAACTTTTATATTGAGTCAAGTGTGAATGTCAAACCATTTTGTAACATACGAGTACATATTACATATATATGTAATATAATAAATAATATAATAAAAGCCTTGAAGACTTCATAATTTTTTTTTTCATTAATTACTGGCAGTCTTTTAAAAGTCAACTGATAACATAGGCCTCCCCACCTAGACCAATTCATAGGATGGATATTGACGGGTGATAACCGCAGTTTTTTATAATATTATTTGTTATCAGGAAGATGTTGCTGCCCTTTTCCTTTTCCATTTCCCTCTGCCGTCTTCTACAAAACCAATGGAATTAAAAGGGGGAATAGATTTCCTTATATCACTACTACACGGAGAAATTCAAAAGTGTTCATTTATTTAAACGCTTTCTTTTTATGAAAGGTAAAATAAAACTAATAAAGGATTATTTAGATACATACTATAGTACAACCTTGATCTAACAAATATGAAGGGAATTAGAAAATATTTGTTATACCAAGTAATTTGTTACAGTAAGGTTCGTAATACTAAGGTTGTATGTATTTTGAAAACACGTTTCTCACACACGATTTTTATGCTTTAAGGGATGATACAGATTACACAGAGCACGACAAGGCTACGCCTATTATTTGTTGTGAGACGAGGCACTCACTTAAATTCTGATTTTGAGTCGAATAATTTATACAATAAGAGTAGAACTTTGGCCGGGTTTATATTATAAATATTATAAACTATTTTCGTTGGAAATTTTGTATTGAGGTCATGTAAAGTTGGCTTTGTGAAGTGCGAAGGTTGAGATATGTGAGGTGCCCTATGCCTATCGTTAGGCCGTATATATGCTGATATTTAACGTATTTTTTTACTTACAGGGTCATTAATGACAGTCTGAAACAATGTATCGAACGCTCTAGTCGCTGCCTGCCACCGGGGAACCGTTCTAAGAGCAGCGTATGCGTGAACAGACCGCAAGTCTGACGAGGTAAAACCATGACTCCTCGATGTCGGAATCCCCGTCGTAACCTGCACAAAAACAAATGTTAGGAAACAATTTGCTACTTTCATGCATTTAAAAATTAAATCTGTAAATTGCTTTTTCGAACCCTGTAGATTCCTAATCAACATACAAATTTCTAATTAAAATACTTTTGTCCTTATTTGTAATACAACCATCAAATCTGGTTTATTCCTTAATGGTAGAAAAATTTAATTCACGATTTTCGGGCATCGTTTTTGTATAAAAAAGGTTTTAAAAAATTAGAATACATGTACTTCAAACATAACCTTGTTAATTATAATCATAATGATGTTGGCAATCCAAATTCAAAAGCAAATATCTCATTTAAGATTTTTGGGTCTAGTTTTTTTTTTCTAATACATTTACTATTAAACAAAATTAAGAATGGACTGGAATAACAAGGTTAATTATAATTATCATTTAAACTGAAAGCAATTAGAGATCCGAAACATTTCTGCGCAATCAATTGAGACATTAACTGAAGTCAGATCAGCGGTTATAACATAAAACAAACTGCTAGAAGAAATGTGCAGTACTTCAATTATCTTGCGATTTCAATAACAAACCAAATTATGTCAATTAAAAGAAATTACTGTAGGGCAATTTGAACGGATCAGCGACGATTAAAGTGTCGCATGTTTATGGTCAATTAACAAAAAGTCAAAAACCTAGGCTTTTGATTAAGAACCGAAAGAAGACAAAGTTACTACTTAATCTTATCATTACTCTGAAGAAATCCTACTTATGATAAAATTTAAGCATAGATTAAAGTACTTCCAACGAGAATGCAAGATTATTAGGAATAGCAGGGGTGCGTAACTTTTTGATACTCGTAGTTAGATATTAAAGTAGACAACATAGTTTAAAAAATGTCTAGCAAACCACCGGTCACCTCGTTTTTTGGCTTTAGGAAGTCGAAAAATCATCCGATTTCGATGATTTTTTAAAATCATTATTACGGCGGATATATGAAAAAATTACAAGAATAATAAAAACTTATATTGGTTTCAAGGCTTTAAATGTTCGTGAAAATGCACTCATTCACGTATAATTGTTGATAACTTTTTTAAAAACAATCAAATTAAGTTCGTTCCGCGGAGCTCCTACTTCTGAGTGGTTTGTAAAAAATAACCAAGAAGGAGATGGCGAGGTCTATTCGCTCGCTCACTCGACCCCGCCGTCTACTTCTTACCTAACCTGTCCGAGTCGGGATGTCCTAAGTCCCGAGCTCGTAAAGTCATAAAACTATATGAAATCTTCAGGTGAGATATTTTCCATATTTTTTTTTCATAAATCCGCCATAAAAAACGAAGATTTAAAAAAATTATCGAAATCGGATGATTTCGATTTTCTGGAGCCCAAAAACGAGGTGACCGCTATAGTATAACATTACCAAAAAAACTTCAAATTCCTTAAATGAAAAGAAGATAACAGATGTTTGTACAGTTTACTTCACTATTTTAAGTAATTTATTTTAATGAATAAAACTATTATTTACGGATTTTATCGCGTTTAATTACTTTAATTTATTTTTATTATTATCCCGACGTTTCGGGTGCTTTACAGCGCCCATGGTCACGGGGGGGACTGAGATGTTTGACGTCCCAATGTCATAGTTAGTCCGGCTACCTTCAGTTTTTTAATATTAATTTTTGGTCCGATTTACGCAAAACGAGCTTATAGTATCATGAAGTCTTGCAGTGGTATGCTTGGGTTTGGGTTTAATTTTGTTGATTATAGGATCCCAAGCAGATGGTAGCACCCAACCATCTTCTCTATTGAAATTTGGATGTTTTTTAATTTCAATAGCCTCGCGTATCATCCTTGGTAGGAATCGGTGTTCTTTTGCGAGAATTTGTGGTTTATCAAATCTAATGTAATGGTGGGGACGATCTTGAACATGTTCGCAGACTGCAGACTTCCCGGAGCGTCGGTGCTTCACATCAGCTATATGTTCCTTCACGCGGGTTTTTATAGATCTCTTTGTTTGACCTATGTAAGAGAGACCACATTCACAATCTAGCTTGTACACACCTGCATCTTGTAGAGGAATATTACATTTGATGGATGGTAAAAATTGACTAATCTTCTTCAGCGGCTTGTAGTATGTCTTAATGGACGCTCGCTTCAAGATGTAGCCAATCTTGTCCGTGACTCCTCCAACATATGGTAGTAGAGCAGGTGCGCGCTCGACTGTTGCCGGCTTCACTCGTTCACTGTGACGTAGGCGCGGGACCCGAAGCTTGTTGTCTTGCAATACTTGCTTGACGTGCTGAAGCTCCGCGGCCAGATGTTTTCTGTCACAGATCCCTCGTGCTCTCTGAAACAAAGATTTACCCACGGTAGCTAACTGTGAAGGATGATGGTGAGATTCACCATTTAGATATCGGTTGGTATGGGTCTTTTTCCTATACACAGTGTGACCAATAGTGTTATCAGGATTTCGGATGACTAAAACATCTAGGAAAGCTAAAGAATTATTTGCCTCTAACTCCATTGTGAATTGTATTTTAGAGTTTATGGAGTTAAGGTGGTCTAAAAATGCAGTTACTTTGTCAGATGGTAAAATTGTGAAAGTGTCGTCTACGTACCGCTTGTAGAACCTTGGATTTACAGGAGCAGTAAGAAGGGCTTTCTCCTCAAAGTCCTCCATGAATATGTCGGCGACTATGGGAGACACAGGTGAGCCCATCGATCTTAAATCAGGCAAGTAAAAAGTTGTTACGGACGGTGATTCAGCAGAAACGGTTCGATTTACATTTCATAAACAACACCATAGACAATTTGTCCAGTGAACTAAAGACAATTTTAACGACATTTGATTTTAATAATTGCATCGAAACTTTAAACAAACGAGAAACATCAAAATACAATGAATGCAAAAATAAACAAATAGAAAAATACCAAAAATTAACGATCAAATCAAATGCCAAACATCCAAGTCAACGCCAGAACAATAAACAACCGTTGACCATAGACACAAACTATAAACAACGCACTGTCTGTAATTTGTCAAAACATACACTGGACGAACCGACAATGAAAGTATTAGCGAAGGGAATGAACTTCGCATTAACTCCGCGAAAAATCCCGTACGAAGAAATTATCTGCAGTGTTGAGGATTGTCTGTTTAAGAATAATATCGGTAAGGAAGATTTGGAGGCCATACGTCAAGATATTTCGTCCTTGTTACGTCGCAGTTCAGTGCCGAAACCAAACCTTCCCAAAGACGAATTTACAGCGCTAAATAACTTACGGAACAGACCAGAACTCACGATTCTCCGCGCGGATAAAGGAAATGCTACGGTAGTAATGGACACGTCGGAATATAATTTTAAAATACAACAACTTTTATCGGACGAAAGTACATATAAAAAGGTCAAAACAGACCCTACAACTAACACGCTTAAAACAACTAGCGATTTAATAAAGAAATACTCCGAAAAATTAAATCTCGACGTGAATTCGCTAATACCATCATGTGCCAAACCACCGAGGTTGTATGGGTTACCGAAGATACACAAACCAAACGCTCCACTACGTCCCATAGTGAGCCAGATCGATTCACCAACTTATAAGCTGGCACAATACTTAGCAAAAATACTATCACCACTGAGAGGACATACCAGAGCACACACAAAGGATTCATACCATTTTGTGAGTGAGATAAAAGACCTACATCTCGCTAACAATGAAACTATGGTCAGTTTTGATGTTCAGTCACTATTTACATGCCTACCTATTATGGACTGCATCTCAATTGTAACTAGGAAGCTAGAAGAAAATAACATGCCTCAAGAATATGCAATACTACTTGAACATTGCCTCACATCTGGCTATCTATTGTGGAAGGAGGAGTTCTACAAGCAAGTAGATGGTGTGGCGATGGGCTCACCTGTGTCTCCCATAGTCGCCGACATATTCATGGAGGACTTTGAGGAGAAAGCCCTTCTTACTGCTCCTGTAAATCCAAGGTTCTACAAGCGGTACGTAGACGACACTTTCACAATTTTACCATCTGACAAAGTAACTGCATTTTTAGACCACCTTAACTCCATAAACTCTAAAATACAATTCACAATGGAGTTAGAGGCAAATAATTCTTTAGCTTTCCTAGATGTTTTAGTCATCCGAAATCCTGATAACACTATTGGTCACACTGTGTATAGGAAAAAGACCCATACCAACCGATATCTAAATGGTGAATCTCACCATCATCCTTCACAGTTAGCTACCGTGGGTAAATCTTTGTTTCAGAGAGCACGAGGGATCTGTGACAGAAAACATCTGGCCGCGGAGCTTCAGCACGTCAAGCAAGTATTGCAAGACAACAAGCTTCGGGTCCCGCGCCTACGTCACAGTGAACGAGTGAAGCCGGCAACAGTCGAGCGCGCACCTGCTCTACTACCATATGTTGGAGGAGTCACGGACAAGATTGGCTACATCTTGAAGCGAGCGTCCATTAAGACATACTACAAGCCGCTGAAGAAGATTAGTCAATTTTTACCATCCATCAAATGTAATATTCCTCTACAAGATGCAGGTGTGTACAAGCTAGATTGTGAATGTGGTCTCTCTTACATAGGTCAAACAAAGAGATCTATAAAAACCCGCGTGAAGGAACATATAGCTGATGTGAAGCACCGACGCTCCGGGAAGTCTGCAGTCTGCGAACATGTTCAAGATCGTCCCCACCATTACATTAGATTTGATAAACCACAAATTCTCGCAAAAGAACACCGATTCCTACCAAGGATGATACGCGAGGCTATTGAAATTAAAAAACATCCAAATTTCAATAGAGAAGATGGTTGGGTGCTACCATCTGCTTGGGATCCTATAATCAACAAAATTAAACCCAAACCCAAGCATACCACTGCAAGACTTCATGATACTATAAGCTCGTTTTGCGTAAATCGGACCAAAAATTAATATTAAAAAACTGAAGGTAGCCGGACTAACTATGACATTGGGACGTCAAACATCTCAGTCCCCCCCGTGACCATGGGCGCTGTAAAGCACCCGAAACGTCGGGATAATAATAAAA